ACACAAACTACTGGAGGAAATCTCACCATTGTGGGAGGGGCAGAGACACAAACTACTGGAGGAAATCTCACCATTGTGGGAGGGGCAGAGACACAAACTACTGGAGATCTCACCATTGTGGGAGGGGCAGAGACACAAACTACTGGGGGGAAATATCACCATTGTGGGAGGGGCAGAGACACAAACTACTGGGGGGAAATATCACCATTGTGGGAGGGGCAGAGACACAAACTACTGGGGGGAAATATCACCATTGTGGGAGGGGCAGAGACACAAACTGCTGGGAGGAAATCTCACCATTGTGGGAGGGGCAGAGACACAAACTACTGGAGATCTCACCATTGTGGGAGGGGCAGAGACACAAACTACTGGGGGAATTCCTGCTTTTCGGGTCTCTGATTTGAGGTCACAGTACGATTTGTTGCTGGTTTTGTGTCTTTTCTACTTCTCATCAATATACAATGTGGGATCCGGTTTGCGTTCTCTTGTTATAAACCATCACACACAGAAGATCTTTCGGTGTCACACAATCTAATAATTATGAGTCGCAGTGACGGCAGATTCTTGGGATTAAGGAGTGCGGTGCAACCAATCTTTCCCTTTCATCCACAATCCATTCTTTTCATTTCTTTCAGCAGGAAATTGGGGGAGATTTTTGACCCAGAATACAAGTTTTCTAAATGTATCTTTTTCATCCCATAATTTCCCTTTAAGGATCATTCCACCTCAAAGTGAGATTCCAGTTCGGGCCGGATGCTGGTTTCCTGTGTCCCTTCTTCTGCTCCATCTGCAATATGTCATAAAAAGGAACCTAGCGCGTTGAGAAAGGGACGAAGTGAAAGAGCTGAAACGCGATTTTCTATGAAATGTGAAACTGAAACTGAACTCCGTCAGTCCGGGAAGATTTCACTTCTGTGATAAATCCTAAAAGTCGGCTTATAAGAAGAGAGCCGAAAGATGGAGCTCAGCATGGAGCAGCAACCCAGAAGAAGCAGAACCCTTTCTGGAGAACAAGGAGCCCCCAGAACAGAACTCCCCGAGCACAATGAACAGCACATATTCCTGGACAGTCCTCCTTCTACTGAGCCTCAGCTCCATCGTCTCTGCCCAAACCTGCAAATGGCTCCACCGGAACCAAAAAGAATGGACCAGAGAGATTCTGCTCAACTTCTACCAGATGGTGAGTTCCCACCTCCCCCTCTCTCTCCATCCCCATCATCTCATCTATCTCTGTTATCTACATACAACCTTCATGGTGTGTCCTCCATACTGCTCCTCCATCTCCATCATCTCATCTATCTCTGTTATCTACATACAACCTTCATGGTGTGACCTCCATACTGCTCCTCCATCTCCATCATCTCATCTATCTCTGTTATCTACATACAACCTTCATGGTGTGTCCTCCATACTGCTCCTCCATCTCCATCCCCATCATCTCATCTATCTCTGTTATCTACATACAACCTTCATGGTGTGACCTCCATACTGCTCCTCCATCTCCATCCCCATCATCTCATCTATCTCTGTTATCTACATACAACCTTCATGGTGTGACCTCCATACTGCTCCTCCATCTCCATCCCCATCATCTCATCTATCTCTGTTATCTACATACAACCTTCATGGTGTGACCTCCATACTGCTCCTCCATCTCCATCCCCATCATCTCATCTATCTCTGTTATCTACATACAGCCTTCATGGTGTGACCTCCATACTGCTCCTCCATCTCCATCCCCATCATCTCATCTATCTCTGTTATCTACATACAACCTTCATGGTGTGACCTCCATACTGCTCCTCCATCTCCATCCCCATCATCTCATCTATCTCTGTTATCTACATACAACCTTCATGGTGTGACCTCCATACTGCTCCTCCATCTCCATCCCCATCATCTCATCTATCTCTGTTATCTACGTACAACCTTCATGGTGTGACCTCCATACTGCTCCTCCATCTCCATCCCCATCATCTCATCTATCTCTGTTATCTACATACAACCTTCTTGGTGTGACCTCCATACTGCTCCTCCATCTCCATCCCACCTTGTGGGTCGTATTTATAGTAGCCGTCAAATCTTCATATAACCAGATGGTGAGTTTGTCCTTCTCCTTATTCTGCCCTTGGACAGACATGGGAGATCCTTCTGACCTTTTCTCTGCTTTCCTAGCCCCTCACATTAGGGAGGGGGGTCTCTAGTCAACCACTGCTATCTACTAGGGATGTCCAGATACCAGTGCCGATAGTTGGCATTTTCATGAGAGCTCCCGAGGTTGCAGCCGGGACCGGGCTCCGGCGCTCCACCGCTGTCCTGGAATCATTAGTCTGTATTGTTGTAGAAAAACTGTCACATGACAAACAAATATGTATCAGTTCTTGTATCTGTGAGGACTTGGACCGGTATCAGTACTTGTATCTGTGAGGACTTGGACCGGTATCAGTACTTGTATCTGTGAGGACTTGGACCGGTATCAGTACTTGTATCTGTGAGGACTTGGAGAGGTATCAGTACTTGTATCTGTGAGGACTTGGACCGGTATCAGTACTGGTACTGAGTATGGGACTTGGTACCGCTGCATCCCTACTGTCTATATACAATCCTCTGGTTTCCACTGTAACACGTCTGTCCTGATGTTAGCACCCCGTGGTGGGTTCCCAGCACTTCTCGGGGGTCTCATCTCCATTGGGATCTACATACAACCACTCGGTCGGTTTTGTCTTCTCCTTATTGGGGTATTTGGCTTCTCTCTCGGAGTCTCCTCACATTCCGATGGTGGACTTTCCCGGCACTGGTCAGGGTCATATTCTATGTTGTCACGTTACACCCACAACCCCCGACATTCGTTTCCTCATCTGAAGATATTCCTATAAATATAATACAAGTCCCCCATAAGGAAGGGGCCCCTGGAAGCTGCAGTGCATAGACTACCACGTGGCCCCTCCCTATCTTTCTGTCCATATCACAGCGGTCTTGTCCTAGGTTCTCCGGTGCGCTGTGTCTGGATCTATGGACTGCGTTCTTATTGGTCGTGTTCTGTGTATCACAGATGATCATTTCTTGTCTTTTAGGCTCCGGCAGAGAAAACCAACCGAACCTGCCAAGAGAACACAACTCGCCTTCCTGTCATGGACTCGCTTTACAACATTACTCAGGTTTGTGGCCCCAAAGCCCCCATTGATGTGTCTGCAGAGATGTGATGTGTGGATGTGAATTGTCTTCTCTGTACAGCATTCGTTACAATATTACACTCTGAAGCGTTTATTTATAACCAACTGGCAGAAACATTCGCCCTCCGAGTCTTTCTGAACATTCGTTCGCTGCAAAGACACAAAATTGAACTTTCTTAGATATATTTCCTGTTCCGGTCGAGTGTAATTCTGCATTTTGGCCACTAGATGGAGCTGTGAAGCAGAAGAAATAAGTATTCATTCTCTATTCACCGCAGCTCCATCTAGTGGCCAGAAGGCAGAATTACACTCGACCGGAACAGGAAATATATCTAAGAAAGTTCAATTTTGTGTCTTTGCAGCGAACGAATGTTCAGAAAGACTCGGAGGGCGAATGTTTCTGCCAGTTGGTTATAAATAAACGCTTCAGAGCGTGAAGGAGGGCTGTGAATAAATATCATATTCCAGCTTGGAGGCAAAAACGTAGCCCTGGCGTGTGCCGATGATCTGCCAATATCATTGTGAGTTGGGTACTCGGCCAGTCACATGACCCATCGTACACCAGGCAGCCAGGGTGGACTTTCACCGGCAGTACAATACATTGGCCGCGTGGTCTCATGGCGTCTCTTGTGGATCTTTCCAGGTTGAGTCCGCGGCCATCGCTGTGCGTGAAGTCGCCGATCAAACCGCCAAGTTCTACAAAAACCAGAACATTCCGGACTACCAGATCTCTGAAAATATATTTATTATTATTATTATTATTATGTATTTATACTATAAATGTATTTTTATATTGACGAAAGATGAATAAAAAACCATTTCACATATTTTGTCTTTATCTGAGTGTGATCGGTACTTATAGAATGGGGGTTACATAGTATTTGAGGTTGAATAAAGACACGGGTCCATCAAGTACCACCTTTGTGTGTCTGTGTACACGAGTCCCTGGGGGGTGCTGTGGAAATGTTACTAGGATGTGTTTTTAGTGTTGTGTAATATTTTGTCATTAGTCTCTCAGTGTCTCGGTGTAAATAGGCGCTGGGGGTTGAACCATTGGAGTAGATATCTTATGCGTGGCGGAGCAGTGTCTTCTTAGCGAGTGTATGGACGCCAAGCTAGGGCGCCTGCGCGGTGCGCGGATTTATTGGTTTGGCGTGTATACAACTTGCTTTGAGGACATTATTTATCGGCCTTTATGAAAGGAACGTGCGTTTGTTGTCTCTGGTGCGTCTGATCAGCCGCTGGAGATAATATAACGTTGCCTGTAAATAAGCGCGCATGAGAATCCGAGTAACGCTATTGGACATTGCTCACTGACCAATGCTGGATAAGGTTCTCCAGTGGTAATTGGAGATATGTTGTGTTGATATGTTAATATGTAGTAAGGAAGTGATGGTTTGCTGTTTGAGACATCACTTCCTGTCTAACATCACTTCCTGTCTGACATCACTTCCTGTTGGGGCAGGTATAAAACAATAAACACATGCCTGTGCTGGCTCTCTAACGATGGGATTAACAAGCATCATCTGTCTCCGGTGTCCTGACTCTACATGACTCATAGGGAGTACTGCCAGTCCTGGCACAAAGAGCGTAATACAACTGTGCTTCCAGGCACGGGGAAATCCTTCGTATTTGGCGCAGCATGGAGTTGTGTGTTGAACCAAGCGAATTTCCATAACAGGGGCCCGGTACATAAGAGTCCCTGTGTGGTCCGGTATATAAGAGT